TATTTTTTTACTACTGCTATACTATACTCTTAGTTACGTAATAGGTGTATTAGTATTACTAAACTAATTTAATTTAATGTAGATAGTTTTAGTTCTGTATATATATATATATATATAGGAAACTTGTTTTTATCAGAAGTCATTGTTAATAACTGCCATAAGGACTCAACTATTCTGCCATGATTAAAAATTGGATATTCATAGTTAAAAATGTATAGTTTAACTCCTCTAGTTCCTTCAATTAGACTATTTGCATTGGCTTTTTGGCATATACTAGAGTACATCTATTAAAAGTCTAACTGGACAAGTATGCAATTTTTTGTACAGATTTCTACAATGAGTTTCAACATTCTAGAAAACTATGTTTTAGTTCACTTGTGCAAGACATTATCAGTTCAGAAAGACCTTTGGTCTGTAACTGTGTATGACAAAACTACTATAAAGTTATACAACTGCATAGTTGTTGAAGGCATTTTTGAAGTGATGAAGTATGTTTTAACCAAATATAACATTCATAATCATTCTAGGAGCTTCAAAAGTATCCAAGTTTCACATACATCATTAAGTTCAGAAATATTTAAAAGTAGGGATAGTGATGAAACAAATTGGTGGCCATAAAAATTGCCTGTTTAAAACCACCTTTAAAATGTCTGAATATTAATAATCACTACTTCCCAGTATTAGCTGAGCAAAACTACAGTTAATTGTACTTATAAAACTGCCTAAATCGTTATATACATGTTTATGGAGTATATCAAAATTTCACTATTTCAACAAATTTTCATATAAGTATGTAAGTAAGTGACTTTTCCAGACAAGCATACAAAAAAAAAGAAAAACCTTATCACTCTAAATCTTTCACAGAATTCTTCCTTCTGGGGTTTCAGTGATTCATTTCTTGTACCGAAGAGGATACTAGTATATATATGCACATGTATAATATGGATGATGCACTACTTTCGGCATATAATTAGATTTGTCTCAAACTAATGTAATTATAATGATTTGAGAAATTAGAGAAATTTTTTTTAATTTTAAGTAAATCAGTTGTTGTAGTTTTGACTTTTCTTGTTTCCAATACCTTTTGTAGCATTAAAATTTTCTATATTACTATAGTTAGCTAGGTTATATATATATCAATCTCTACTTGTTATTAAATTTAGAAAAAAATTGATTATACTTGTTCAAGTTAAGGTTTCTGTACAGAAGAAGTCACATGCTTCTTGTCCAAAAAACATTACTTAATAAACACCTACTCTCAATAAACTGCTTTCAACAACTGAAGAACTGTTTTATTATACACAAAATTTACATACAATGAAAAGTCTTACCTCTACCACATCGGAAACAGCTTCAAGCAATTCCACAAGCTTATTAAATCCATATTTAGAAACTTTACATTGATGACCATACTGATGATGATAGGCAATAGTAAACTTGCTGAAGAGCATTGTTCCTGATGGACTATTGTTTAATAATTCAACCACCTCCATTGCAAATTGTCTGGTTCGCTCAACTTCTTCAGCTGTTTGTCCTGTGAGATATTAACTCATAAATTAAAAATCTACCTTTTATAATCAATAATTTAGACCTGTTCTTTTTAATAGTTCATTTTGGATTTTTGTTTCCAAGTATAAGAAATAAACCTATAACATGAGAGCAGATACTGGCATTTCAACCTAATTTCAATACATCACAGAAGATATCTGTGCTCAGAACCTGTGAACTAGCAGTAACAGCAAAGCTTGTTAGACTGCGCAAGACAGTTAATTCACATGTTAAAATTACTTACCATAACAAGATGCTATCTACTCTTGTTAAGGATTGTTTTGATTTGTTTTGAATTTTGTGGAACGCTACATGAGGGCTATCTGCGCTAGCCGTCCCTAATATAGCAGTGAAAGACTAGAGGGAAGGCAGCTAGTCATCACCACCCACTGCCAACTATTGGGCTACTCTTTTATCAACAAATAGTGGAATTGACCATCACATTATAATGCCCCCATAGCTGAAAGGACGAGCATGTTTGGTGGGAAGGGGATTCAAACCTGTGACTCTCAGACTGTGAGTCAAGTGCCATGTCAGATGTTAATTGCTTATGTTTGCCAGTTGTCAATTAAAGGCCTTTACTTATACTTCTTAATAGTATAAATATACATACTGTGTTGTTTTTGGGCTTATAATTCTTCTACAGTAGGTGTCTGTGACTTATTGGCAATAAATTGTTTAAAAAAAAAATAATAAATATATATATATATATACACACACACACACATTCGAAACAAGTTAAACGTATGTACAACAAATTCTTCACACTATGAGGATTATAGGCATAATATAAACACTATATGTAGTTTTCTTCTTGTCAAAAGTCCACTTAGGCCTATTCAATTACTTTAGAATTTCAGTTAGCAAGCCAAACTACCCTTCCCTATTTCTATTTCATTAGTATTCTGCGTATAATTCGCTTATAACTGTGGCACAAGTTACTGCAGTCATATAAATTATTATTCTTATCTCCTTTTTTACTGTTAGTCTTACTCTAGCATATTAAACATTAGGCCTATGTTAATTGCTAGGCCTATCACTTCTACAGCAGTTAATTTAACACTGAACTCTTTCTTGGACATGACTTTACTCTCTTCTGCTATTGTCTGACTGCTGTTTCCACTTGTCTTAGACTATTTGTATGTTTATCACTTAATCGTCTGTCCGTCTTCTAGAAATCTCTATATTCTCGACATCTATGTATTGCATGTGACATTTGATAGTCTCAACATCAATGAATTATAAACACAACTTCCAACCATTGTCTACTTTTAACTCTCTTATTATAAGCAAAATTAAACAATCATAAAATATTCACTCACACAATAAATCAATAAATAATATCTACACTAAACAGTCTTTTATATCATGATATACCCTAATCATCTGGCCATGCCAGACCTCTTGTGAAGGAAGAGAAAAAAATTTAATAAGTGTTTATTGTGTACTGTATTTCTTCATAAGATTGATAAAATCATACAATATGCATATAAATAGTTTTTTCAGAAACAATAATAAAATACAATAAAGTAGAAATATGAAATAAAAAAGGCATACCTCTGTTCTTTATAGTTATGACAGTATCCTCTGACGTCTTTGTAACCTACAATTTAAATAAGTACCTTCATTCATAATAAATCTAAATATTTATGTAATATTAATTGTTTTATACACACTTAAATATATATTACATACGGTAAGCTGATTTGATGTTTCAGTCCTTCAAGTGCTTAAAAATTAATAATACACAACAAAATTTAGCTGCATAGGAATGTAAGACTCTACAATTTTGATGAATCAGCATATTCAGTTTCCCCCCTTTTTTATGGCATTTCCTACTACAAGTATCTCGTGGTGAGATATGAAAATTCAATGCAAATATGGTAAAAACAAGGTCAGTCTTAAGTATTTGACATCCCATAAATTTCAAAGTATTTAATAGAACATTGGAATTCCAAAATAAATATTTAACACTTGTTGACAATATACAGGATTTAGTTCTATTGACACTATACAACTTACTACAGCTACGTCAAAATGTTGACAAAATATAGCTTACCACAACTAAGTCAGCCACTTCTGCTAACATATCTGTCAATGTACATATTCCATAACTAGTTATCTGAAGTTTCCTGCCTATTTTGTGTTCATAAAAGACTGGTAATTCAGACAGAAAGATCTGTTTGCTAGCTCGTGACCTAAGAACACGCAAAATGTCATTGCCAAATCGTTTCACTTGGGTCAGGTGAGTCAAGGTCAACATACGACTTGACCCTTGACCTAAAATCTAAAAAAAAATTGTTTTAGCAACAGAATATGAAATACACCTAAGTCTAATTTTTCATAATCAAATACATAAATGAAATACTTCTTATCGTTAAAGCACAGAATAATGTAGTGTTTATTATGTCACCCAAATAGCCTTATCCCTAAAACAATGCAATAAATATCTTAGTACACTAAATTTTTCAATATCAGCCAGTTTGGAGTTAGTTACTTTTTTACACTGAAATTTTTGTACTTGTCTGTATATTCACATAGAACCCAGACAAAAGCACATTTATAGCCAAGCAGAAAAAACAAAAAGAGTACTACCACCTACCTATGGTAAAGATTGCAATAAGTGCCTAAATTAATCCCTGTTACAGCAGACTCAAACTCAGCCATATAAAGATAACAACATTTTATTCAAGTTATACAAGCTTGTGACATCGAAAACTTTGTTTTTTAATATATGCCTTTGTTATGTAGCAGTATGTATCTGATAAGAAACTGGTTTGAAATTGGAAAATATTGACAAAGTTTTAAGGCTTTCAGTTTAGGTCAGTATATATTTTATTGTTTAAATTTTTAGCCACAACATAATTGCTCATAGAATGGCTCTGAGTTTCTTTTCAAGTACAACATTTCTAGTTCCTAGCTCTGAGAATGGCTCTGAGTTTCTTTTCAAGTACAACATTTCCAGTTCCTAGCTCTGTCATCTCTTGACCAACTTGAGATCTAATTACAGTTTTGAACTCATGAGGTCAAACTCTTTCAATTGATGTATTTGACCACACCCAAGGTCTCATAGATTAATTTACTGTAATCCTAACTAAAAGAATTTCAATTTGAGGGTAGGATGGTAGAGATCCTGATGAGCAATAAAATCAAATACATGCACCCCATGCTTGGTATTGCTGATGCACAAAAATACAGCTAATAAAAAGGGGGAAAAAATCTCATAAATAAATTTATTCTAATCCTGCCTAAAAGATTTTCAAGTGCCATAATTATTGAGGATTCCCTCTTGTTTTCTCTTGATAAATACAAAAGTATCACCCAATTAATATGCAAGTGAGTTTATTCAGTTTTTGAAATAGAAAATATTAAGGCCATTTTTTTTTCTGGTGAATACTAATAGTTCATTGACATTTTATAATAATTTTGATGGATAAATCAAAATCATTATGCCAAATGTTGGATAACTGAACAAACTGGTTAAGAGACACACCCATATGTAATTCTTCTCTTTACCTGGACAACATCTGACACTGCTTCTAACAGTTCTGTTAATTTAGTAAATTCATAATCTCCAAGACAACACTGATGCCCAAAATGCTGATGATAGGCAGGAACAAACTGATCAAAAGGTAACAAACACTGTGGTTGAATCTTCAAAAGTTCCACCATTTCTTGCTTAAATAGAACAAGATGATCTTCTACAGATTGTTTGTTTTTACATCCACCTCGAAAAAAATAAAACAAACTAGCTATTCCAAGAAGTTTTAAAAGACATATATAGAAAACTTCAGTCCAAAATCAAATACTGAAAATGTAAGAAAAAAAGAAGTAAAAATTACTATTAGTGTTTTTACAGGAATTCTAATAAAATGAATACAAAATTATATTTTTAAGGTGTCAGCTATTACTATTAGAAGCCTTCTTTCTGTGTAAATGTTATAAACTTCTATACATCATCCTAGCTTGCTCACCGAAACACAGATGTGATAGTAAATTCTTCAAGTATAACAAATAACATCCATTGATAAAACACTCATACAAAAAACGGTTGAATCTTTTAAATAAAATCTGTATTATACATTATAAGAAATAATCAAATAACTATAGAGAATTAAAAATTAATTCTGGCAACAGTTCTTCAAATCATCAAGTTTCAATCACAAACAACTAAATCACTGAATAATGCCATAACTCACAAGTCACAAAATATAAAACGAATGTGATTGTGCTTAATTTTCTAGTTATATTAAGTTTTATTTAAAAAGTAAATCAACACATTTTAATTTTTAATCCTGTGAAAAATATGAGTCATTTGAGTAGACAATTTGACTAATTATTAAGTTTGGGATACTAATAAAATGGGAATAGCTTTACATTCTACAGTAAATCTTAATAATTTGGCCAAATTACATTCTACCACAGTCACATTTATACTATTAATGACAGGAACAGATAAAAATATAACAAAATTTAAATCCTAAGATTGCTAATCATTTCGAAGATATTATATATTATGATATAAAATACCTACTATTTTCTTGTAGCATAAGATGAAAAACAAAATATTTTGGTGATCCTAATCTAAAATTATATTGCAGCTGTACCTTCTACCTAGTTCATCTGATAAGTGTATTCCTGATTAATAATGATTATTCATTGCATTAACTGTTTACTGAATAAAATCCTACTCTATAACATGTGTCTAGACTACCTAATACACTTTTAACATTTCTACTAGGGGTGCATATCTCATCATAGTAGTCAATAACATATGTATGTAGATATTGATGCTGCAATACGGTATGTATCTAGATACAGAAGTTTTACCAACAGTTTGTTACAAAGTTTGAGTCTTGTCTGTAATTTATTATCTATATTACTAACGTTGTCTTATTTAAGTAGTTCACACTTTACAGTGCTTTTTCAAATTATCAAATGGTAGCTGACAAGAGAAGTAAAATAAAAAAAGTTAATATCTGTCTATCTATTTTGTTATTGTTAATTTGATATGTTACTTTGCATGTAATGTTTTTCATATAATAAATGAAGACAACATGTAGTAATCAATACTTATCTCCTTTTATTGAATCATTAATTTTAAACAAAAATACTTTATTAGAAATTCAGTTTTTTCTGTACAAAAGACTTGTAATGTTTCACTGAAAGTTTGCCAAATTTTGTGAAGATACATAATTTATATCATATTGGATGATGTATCGCCAGACCATTAAATTTCTACTAATCACACTGAAGCATAGAATACACATAACCAATAATAAAGATATTGTTACAAGTATGGTATGTTAGTGAAAACACGTGTATAAAAAACAGATTTTTGTCTATCTTACATGTCTTTAAGTACCTAAGCTACAAAGAAACAAAATATATTAAAATCTACACTTGTTTTATGACAAATAATAAGTGTGAAGAAAGAAAGACCTGCCTTGTGATATGTTTGTAACTTTGTACCACTGTATTTGTTTGATTCCTAATCCTGACTTGGTTATCTCCACTCCAGGGATACAAGTTAACAGATACTCTAATGGAACACCTTCTTGTCCCTGTGAAACTAAAAGTTCTTGATCTTCGAAGATCTTTACGTTTTTGTCCTTATTTGTCAATGGACCAAACTGAGCTACATAACAGGAACAGAAGCTGTAAAAGAAAACTCTGTATCATGAAATTAAATCTAAATTTGTTAGAAAACAACACATCATTGAAGAAGATAATTTTTTACTGAGCATCTTAAGCACCGCCAGCTTCACATTATACAGCCACTTTAAATCATTATATTCAACTGTTAATACATTAATATTCATACAACACGTAAAAAGTATTTACATAAACCTTTTTACCCTTTTATAAACACACACGTATATATATATATATATATATCAAGAACTATGAGGCCCAGTCTGTTCTTCAATCTGCTGTTTGTCACTGAGTTAAGAGATCTGAGGAACTCCACCCTTAATCTGTAACACTTGGCAAAGGTAAATAGAGGAGCAAGACCATGTTCTCCTTAAATTATATGTATATATGGTGTTATTTTACTTGTGTGTAACATGTGAAGTTCTCCATTATCATGTAAAGAACTTATGTTTATATCGGTTTTGAAGAGTATGTAGCATGGATGCTAGTGATGGAGTTCTGCAAATAATTTGCTTGTTTCAAGTTTTTTTATGTTAGAAACAAAATGAAAAGATAAATTTGTGTCTCCCATAAAAGTTCACTTTTACCTTGTGGCATTATTGATTTTTAAAATGCAAAATAACACAACTTAAGATGGGTAAAACTTTTTATTATAAAGGGAGTACAACATTTCAACTGGACATTTTGTTTTTATAATGAACCTTGAAATCAAATACTACTTATTTTCAAAATTTATTATGTATTTCAAACTACTTTGAGATGTAATTGTGATAAAATAATTCAAGTGCAGACTATAAATATAAGTTCTTTCCCTTGGTTTTATTTTTTAACCAATTTTCTACAGTCAGTCAGAAGCAGACCCCTTTATACTACAAATTTATTCAAATTCATTGTCTTTTCCCATGTCTAATATCAATGAGATTTTTCTTCTAGTGTCTTGTTGTACATTCAATAATGTTTTTATGGTGATTGACAATTTAACTATTTTTTGGTTTCATTAAAACTTACCTAATTTTTAACCTGGTATAATATAAATACCACAGTTATTAAACACATACCTTTTTTTTGTTTGAAAAGATGTATAAAGAGGTTAATATAAAATGTGATTCTGTTATTTATAAAGGGTTTGCAATGTTTTTTCTTAATGGTATCAGTATACTAAGTAATTCCTTTTAAAAGTTTGGAAATCACCAAGTGTGAATAAGTTTGGATATAGATATAATATAATTCATTTAATTAACAAAGGATTAGTAGTTTTGTATCATATATAGTGTAATAGATATGACACAAGAATGGTAAAAATGTTTTACCTGTTAAGTGGTATTGAGCCATGGTGATTGTCCAGCATCTTATGCACACGAGGTCCAAGGGTCTTTAATGACATACATACTTTGGGTAATGGATATGTACTTCTTGGCTTTGTCCAGTCATTCCAACTAACTTGTTGGAAATGGTGTTCACAAAAAGGTTTCTCAGTGGAACATTGTCTCTGCTGAATAAATATTTAAGCTATGTAACACAAAAAAATATTAGGGAAGTGTTCATGATGCATGATTTATCTATACTTAATTTATTTTCTCATTCTTCTATTTATGAAAAGTGAAAATCATTTCTGTATGAGATCTTGTGCTGCACTCATCATTGTACTCCAATCACAAGTGTTTCTTAACTTTGTGAACTCAATTCAGAATAAAAACACAATGTTACTTAAAATTTACAATTCTACAAGAAGTGGTATTGCTGAATTCTGTTGGTTCAATTCAACAAAACCACTCCTCTTGATAATGTAACCTTTTATTTTTTCCTGAATGTACTTTAATTTTTCAACTTTTAAACCATGAAACACTGAAGGGTATTTTAAAGTTGACTTAGAACATTATTTGAAAGTTATATGTACATTTGCTGCCCAGTAATATCTGTTAACAGAACGTACAAGTCATAGTTAGTTCTAAAAACTTTGTCAAACATCTAAAATGGATACTTTTTTTTTTGTGTTATGATGCTGGAAATAAAATGTCAACATATACATTCTTCAACATTAGTCCTGATTTTGTGAACACTTTACCATTAGAAAACCTCTAAGAAACCTGAAAAGCATCAATGTTTAATTCAAATTGATTTTTAAAATGTAAAGTTTAGATTAACATTCTGTGTATATATTTTTTGTCAATAAATCATGTTAACAAAAAAGATCTCTGTTGAAACAAAATAATGTAATGACACATGAGAATGAAATCTGTGCACAACTACTTGTAGAGAGTGTACGAGTCTTTTTTGCACATGTACAAAACCATTCCAGTATTTTTGAAAATCCAAATCACGGAATACTAATAACTGAGAAACACTATTACCTCAGCTACTAAAATCATATTATGTACCTAGTTTTAAAACACTTGTTATTTATGTGTGTGTGTGTATATATATATATATATATATATATATATGTACACACAGAGAGGGAAGATATTTCATCTATTACAGTATTTTGAACTGACACTTTTGTTCATGTAGTTTTGATTTTATATGCACCCTAAAAATTCACCCTTGTTTTGTGCATGAAGTTATTCTTTAGTTTGTAATGTATTCTACTAAGTCAATCTCCAAAACTGAAAATTATACAGCTGCAGATGCCAGATTAAGTCTGTATTTCTTGTAAAACTTGTCTACTTCTTAACTTTCAAATATTTGCAGCTCTGTAAATTAGAATATACCAAAAAGTAAAACTTACCTGGTGTGATCCTTCAGCTTCAAAAGATGACGATGTGATTCGGTAGTCAGGCTTTAAGCATACAATACATTCTCCAGCTTCTTCAGTAATTATTAACATGTCCATCTGGGTCAGGTCTGAAACAGTGATAGCTCTATTGTACCTAGATAATATAAACACATGCAGTATTACTCCCCTACATAATTTACATACATTGTTAAGCAGCGTGTGTTGTTACTCTATCATTAGTGTTTCTGGTACATTCAAAAACACTGGGTTACATGAATAAATAAACACCAATGTCCATTTCAAAATTACAATTTTAGAAAGCTGAACATCACATTCCTGCTGTTTATGAGAATATTTTATCTACCATTGAAAGAAGAGGTGTCAAAAATTGGTAAGTGAAACACACATTGCACCATATAGTCAACAAAAAAACAAATATTCTTGAATAGCTTATTTCTAGCAGCTAAATTCCATCATTTTAAGAACTATAGTTTTGCTTTCAAAAGGGTAATAATTAATACCAAATAACTTCCTATTAATTACTTCAGTTAGAGTACCAGTGCAGAGGAAGTTGGGATAAAGAAATGCCTTACAAGTGAATGGAATTTACACACCTTACCCATTACTTTAATGTAGGAGATAATTTGTGATAGATATTATTATACTAAACAGAGAAAGGTACAGTCAATATGTATGTTTGGAAGATTTTGAATGACAAGCAAGATGCAAACCTTGCTGCAACTACAATATAAAACACTGAATACACACTGATAAAACAAAGTTCAAACAAGTAGATTATAAAAAACCTGTAAAACATACCAGTCTGACCACATTAAGATAGGAATAATGAGCTGACCTATAACTAGCCTCACTCCTTACAGACACATTCCTTTCAATTTACATGCGAAAGGTTTTTAGGTTAAAAACAAACCATAGGAAAGAAAATATTAAGTATATTTCATCATCTGGATACCATTCTTGATTGCTTCGAAATGAAAATATGTGTGCAACTGAATCACTAAAGAAACACTTGAAAACAACTGAATAAGCATAACCTCCTGAAAAACTCAGTAACATCTTAACAAAAAAAAAATGATCCCTATCTTATATAAAGAGAGAGGCAGATATAAAATAATTCCAATCAACAGGATTAGTATTGTAACTTTATTTTTGACAAAAAAGCAAAATGAAATTTCTAAAAACAAGTGTCATCTTACACAGATGTTAATATTCAGTACTATATTCTAGCAAATGTGCTAACGCATGTACATTGACATTAGTTCAGCTCACTCACAATGCGGTACTTTTAAATGTTAATTAAATATTAACAGTTCAAAGCTGTTAAGTAACAAAACAAATTGTACTTTTCTGTTACTATTATTGATAATAAAATAATTTTCCCATGTACCACATTCCATTGTCAGATACAAGAAATTTAATACACATAATGCAAGTACTAGCCTTGTCTTGGTCTCTTAAAACCTGCTCATTTACTCAACTTACCTGTTCTGAAACCTTTCTTTCAAGTTGCAAAGGGGAATTCTGTTGAATGGTGTATCATTCAATAGGGCAAGCACCTCACACCTGAAAATTATGTCCATTTAATGATATAACAAAAGTAGATGTAAAAGAAAGAATCTTGTGATTTCAGCCCCAACTGGTATTATTTAACACAAAGTACAATTGTTTACCACAAATCTCTCAAACATCTTAAATTGGTTAAGACTTTCTTTTGTATGTCTCGGTCAATTTTGAATATAATGCTGACTAGTTCTCATGGCTAGAAATACTAATAACAAACATAAATTTTGATTTTATTAGCAAAATATTGTGAATCTCGGTAGCCTTGTGGTATAATAATGGAATCACATGCATGTGTCTGATTAATTTACCTGTTAACATAACAAAATAACATAATATTTTGGGACAACATGGGACCTCCTGGTACATCTTGGCTGTTCCATCCTCAAAACTAAATTAAAAGGATTAAAAAAATTTAAACCCAGCTCTTTTCATTCACATACAAGCTTTTCTTAAACTCATTTAAATTTACTGCCTCTACAACATCTGA